TTAATAGGTCCTGCCTAATGTTTGAGATTGTTACAATAATTTCGGTTAAAGTTTTGATATATTTTAGAATTTTTTCACTAAATATTTTATATATTAATTTATAAATATTTATTTAACTATTTCATAGTTTTTTTTTCCTTTTTAACATATTATTTCAATATTAGACTTATAATTTTGAATGATCTAATATATCTATCAATTATACATGGGGAAAAGACATAAATTTCCCCTTGAACTTGTACTGAAAAGTCAGTACACGCTTAAACCATTGTGCCGACCATTACACACCTTTACTATTTAAAAGTGAATTTAATACCAACCTATGGGGTATAACACCACTCTCACATTATGTGGTGTATTATACTCGCTGCTACATCAGCGCTATGTCAAAAATTATAATTTTTTAATACTTTTTTTCTTTTTTTTCTTTATTAGTTCACTTTTTTTTTGTTAGTCATATTTTACATCAATTAGTTTCTAATTATTTAGAAAAATCTCTAAGACTTACATTTTCTTCATTGCAAAATTGCAAAGAAGAAACTTTGTACAATGACCACCAAGAAATTTTTTAAAATTCGAAGTTGATTCGTATGGTGAAAGAATTTCTTTCATTTCAAAATGAACCTCCAGAGGACTCCTTTAGTTTCTTCCATTGATTGACCATGAAAATCGAGATCCAAACACCTTTTTTATTTTATTTTTTATTTTTTTTGTGTTCTTCATGGAAATTTCTTAAAAGATAGGAATAATAGAAAGATAATTTTCTTCCCCTTTTCAATCGATCGTTCATCTAGTTTTCTAAAAAGTCTCATCATAGTTCCAGGACTAAGAACCTCCAAACTTTAATTACTCTCCGATGACATTAAAAAACTCTAATCAAAACTCACAAATCTTAAGTCACTAGTACTATTTTGATTTCTTGTTAGGAGGTTTATGGGTAAAAGAATGGTGTTTTTGAAGTAACTTGTTACTACATTGCTTATTGTTACTGATTCATTTAAGCTTGTTTGGGTGTGAAGAAGATGAGAAAGCTTGTTTGACGCGCATGACTTATTTTTATTTTATTTTATTTTGCCACATCAGTTTTAGGGGGTGAAAAAATCACTTTTAAATAGTATAGGTGTATAATAGGTCATCATGATGGTTTGAGTGTGTAACTGACTTTTCGGTACAAGTTGAAGGGGCAATCTACACCTTTTCCCATTATACATGCATGTTATCAACTTAAATAAAGCTCAAAACAAAATCAAATCAATACTAATACTAACAAAATAAATGATTTCATCACTAGGGTGTGTTCGTTACAAAATAATTTTCTATTTTCTCATGTTCATTGGGAAAATGCACAAGTACCCCCTCAATCTATGCCCGAAATTCCAGAGATACACTTATACTTTATATTAAGGTCCTATTACCCCCTAAACTTATGTTATTAATAATTTTCTATCCTTTTTCGGCCTATGTGGCACTCCATGTTCATTTGATTTAAAAAATTTAAATATAGAAAAATACTTTTTCTTGAAAATAAGGGTCGACTTCCTACCAGTAGGATTGTTTCCCCACCTTGTTAATGACGGTCTTAATCTTAATTATTTAAAAGCCGATCATTAATTTTGTTTGTTTTCAAAGTTTAAATCATAGTCATTAAGTGTTTTTTTTTTTAAAAATTAACCACCTTCTGAGTCTAACTAGTGAAGATCTATAATAGAATCTTAATGCCATTAGGCTGTCTATTTAAGAATTCCTACGAAGATAAATTCATCGTTACTCATTTAATTAACTTCACTCACTGTCCGCTATCAATCACTATCATGACACCATTTTGTCATCCACAACTACCGCCCTCAGTCCAACCATAACTGCCGCCAATCACCAAAATCTATTATCATCACCATTATCCATGATCATTTGCAATCATCACCACCAACTATTGTCACCTCTACCAATCATTGCTGATAATTATCACTATTAGTCAACATTATATGGATAATGCCCAAGTACCCCCTCAACCTATGCCCGAAATCTCAGAGACACACTTATACTATACTAAGGTCCTATTACCCCCCTGAACTTATTTTATTAATAATTTTTTACCCCTTTTTGACCTACGTGGCACTATCTTGTGGGCCCAACGATGATTGACTTTTTTTTTCAAACTAGTGCCACGTAGGCTAAAAAGGGATAGAAAATTACTTATAAAATAAGTTCAGGGGGTTAATAGGACCTTAGTATAGTGTAAGTGTGTCTCTGGAATTTCGGGCATATGCTAACCATCATTATCATTCATTGCCACCATAAGTTATCAATATCATTCCATTACCTATCAGCCGCCATCACCAACAATCACGATTAATCACTACTATTAACCACTATAACATAAGATTTTGCCCACAACCATTACCACCACCAATCAATACCATCCGAAATCGACACACACAATAACCATCACCAATTGTCAGAAAAAAGTTATTTTAAAAAAATATAATTTTAGACTAATTTGGTATTTTATTTGTTTTTTTATATTTATTATTTTTTAAAGACAAATCATTTAGATGCCGAAAAAACAAACCGTCTTCACGGTTTAGTATTTAGATCATAATACAACATTTTAGTATCCAAATTTTAATACAACATCTTAACATTCAAATGTGTATACACATTCAAATCTCTAAATCTTAATGCATATCTTAATATTCAAATGTTTATTCTTGATTTAAACATTTTAATCTTAATGAAAACAAATGATGCCTTAGAGTATGATATTTCATTATGACTTATTAATTAGCAGTCTCTTTTTTATACAATTTCAGTACGTTCTTTGTCGAATATATCAATGTATTCATCACTCTTATCATATTTTGCGTTATTTTCTTAATCAAGAAACACCTTAGATAACTTTATGTTATTGGTTTTGGTTTATAGATTTAAAAGCATGACATTTTTAATTTGATTTGACATTATTATGCAGATATTAATAATGTGTATATTGATTATATATATGCAAATATTAGTTATACATAAATTATTCTTTGGATGTTGTTTTGTTACATTAAAATTAGTAAACTTGTATATTTATCAAATTTAATACATTTTTTTACAATTATACCCTTATACTTCATTATCTTTGTATTTTTTTTTTAATTTCTGCATTTTTATTGAGACAACAATTTGATAGTAAGCCAATGTTTGGATTTGATAGTACCACAGCTAAAACCGCAAAAACAAAGGAAAACTTGTCCAATTGATTCCAGCAGCATTCTCCTTAAAAACAAAAGCAAAACAGCTCCAAGTCACATAGTAAATACAACACCGAGCTTCCAATTGGATAAGTTAAAATACTTTATTAATTTCATGCGTGAATAATTTATTTCTTATTTAGCTATCAGACAATTTCTTTTTTAAGTTTAGTAATTAAAACGAGAAAAATGAATTACATGACTTTTATATATATATATATATATATATATTTATTTATTTATTTATTCTTACTTGGTCCAAAATCTCTTAGCAAACTCGAGGGTTCCGTTCTCGGATATTATCGATTTTGCTAAGAGATTGTAACACCAAGCCTATTATGATTAATTTATTTATATTCTCACTCAACCCAACCAATTCGTGTTCACATTTTAAATGCTACATCAAAAACGAATATATACATGTGTCATTTATACATATCTTTTTCTCATATGATTACGGTTAACTTATTTATATTCTCACTTCAATTTAATACTTTAGTTAGTGCAGTTTCGTGTGAAACACTATTATGGGGAAAACAATTTCATTAGCAAAACATTTACTTTAAAAGTGTGATGTGCTGTTTCCATAGAAACTTACATATCTAAACATCATCTAGTTATATTTAGTAGGGTTTCTTAAAATTGAACATTTTTATAGTTGTATGTTATGCTTTGTATTTACAATCATTTAGCAAGAGTAGAACATACACACCATACATCAAAAATAATTGTTGGTACTGAATCTTCGGATTTATGCTTATTTTCAAATCTCAGAAGCATTTCATTGATCACTACACCTTCCTTGTCTTTGTTTTTGCTGGTGAGCATATGTTTTTAAAAGCACCTTTTGTCTCAATCAGTTTACACCATATATGACGATGGATTATGCTTCTGAGGAACAACAATGAGTAGTAGCTCAATACAAACAGAAAAGTCTCTTTTTTGGAGGGGGACTGATATTGTTTTTGGGGGGTTCTTTACTTGTAACAAAAGGATTCTTCATGTGTGGATATCCCTCTTTCACCTTTAAAGTTACTTTCATATTGTTTGACCATCAAGCATTAGCCAAATACTAAGTGATGATGTAACTTGTACCTATATTGGAGCCTGATTATTTCAAATTGCACTATAGGGCCCCATTCGGAGAGAAACACTCCATATAAAAGATTTTTCCATAATTTTTCCTTTCATGTTTCACCCGTTGTTTGGTACCTGTATTGGACCCTGACTATTCCGAATCGCACAACGTAGGGCCCCAATTGGAGAGAAATACTCCATACAAAAGATTTTTCCATATCCATGACTCGAACCCAAACCTTTGGTTAGGGCTAAGGGAGGAGCAGTCTCATCCACTGCGCCACATCCTTTAGTGGTACTTTCTCTAACTTTTTAATTCACTGCGCCACATCCTTTAGTGGTACTTTCTCTAACTTTTTAATTCACTGCGCCACATCCTTTAGTGGTACTTTCTCTAACTTTTTAATCCTTCTTTCTATGGTCGGTTTTAGATAATCATCCTTAGCACTTAAAAAAAGAAACTGGCAATTGTATATGGTTATATGTGTAGTGCTTAAAAGCAAAAATTCCCTTGGCTCACAAAAACAGTCTAGGGTCCAAAAATAAGCAATTATTTTTGGTGGTGGGGACTTATTTTCTTTTTTTCCACTTAGCTATAGATGATAATGACTTGTTAAAGTTAACCAAGAGGCAAAAACTCTCCCTTGAAAAGGAGATTCTTTTCCTGTCCCACAACTTCATGCCTTTTAAATATTCCTTTCCATGCAAAAATGATGCCATATATTGATTCCCTCCATTCTCAACATTTAATCTCTCTATACATTCATCTCTCTTTCTTCCCATCTTTTTTCCAGAAATGGCTCAACAGATGGAGGTAAGCCTTGCTTCTACTTCCATATCAATCGACAAGTCCTTGGAGAAATCAAGCATCATATTATATTGTTTTTTAATTATGTTTAGTTTTTTTCATGCAGAAACCTAGAGTCACAGAGATACAGGTGAGAATGGACTGCAATGGTTGTGTTCAAAAGATCAAGAAGGCTCTACATAGCGTCCATGGTGAGTAAGTGATGCATAAAGTACAAATTCTTACTTTTTACAGTGCTAATTCTTTCTCGAATATGTTATGATAGTCTATTCGTATTTCTACAGGTATTCATGATCTTTATATAGATTTTCCTCAGCAAAAGATTACTATAGTAGGATCGGCAGATCCTGAGAAAATAGTGAAGGCGATTAAGAAGACAAGAAAGAGTGCCATTGTTTGTTCCCATATAGAACAAGCAGACCCTCCAACAGAGCCAGAGGAAGCTGAACCAGCTGAGAGTGAAGCACCCACCCCTGACTCCACCAATCCTCCATCAGAAGCTCCACCAGCTGAAGAGCCACCCCACGAACCGCCAAAAGATCCACCAACACAAGAAAATCAACCAGCAGAGGAGAAACAAACACACGAGGGTGCTGACAACGCCAAAACCCAATCAGGTCAACCCTCTAAACCAAGAGATGTTGAAGAGGTTCATGTAATTTACCACTATCCACCAGACTATGGTTACAGGTACAACTATAGCCAGGGAATGAGTAGTCATGAGCCACCTAGGGACCATGGATACCGATACAACTATGGTCAGAACGTGATCCATGAGCCACCCCAGGACCATCGTTACCGCAGATACAACTATGGTCAGAGTATGAGCCAAGAGGCACTCAGGGACCATGGCTACAACAGATACAACTATGGTCAGAGCATGAGCTATGAGCCTCCTAGGGACAATAGTTGCAGATATCACTATGGCCAGAGCATGAGCCATGAGCCTCCCCAACGAGACTCCAGTTTCAGAAATAATCAAGCTCGTCCTGCAGGTCCAGAATTCAGACATGAGATGCCACCACCAGGTCAATTACAAGGAGACTCTGGTTTCAGAATTAATCACGTTCGTCCTATCGGTCCAGAATTCAGACCTGAGATGCCACCACCAGGTCAACCACAAGGAGACTCTGGTTTCAGAAATAATCACACTCGTCCTATCGGTCCAGAATTCAGACCTGAGGTGCCACCACCGGTTTATGCGACTCACAGCTACAATAGCTATCAGCCATCACCCTATGTGACTGGATACGAATACATCAGGTCACCACCAAGATACACACAATATACAAGGCCAGAGCATTACTCTGAGGACTATCACTATGGAAACAACAGCAATGGAACAATCAGCTCAGTATTCAGTGATGAAAATCCAAATGCATGCACAATAGCATAGGAAGGGTGAGCAAAATGGGTTCCAAGGGAAGCAAGTAATTTTTTTGTTTCACCTGTACGAAAGAAAGATGCCTAACTAATTCCAGATGATTCGTAAAGTAACCCTCAATAAACAAAAATAAAGTAAACATGTGTAAATGTTGAGAGAAATGAGATTCTTGACTTCTAAAGCAAAAGGGAATATATCCTCCACTCCAACTCTACAAGGCTAATTCAGACCACCTTGCATTCATTTCCTGAAGAAGAATACTAATAAATCTACTTTATTCTTGGAATTTATTCCTCAGCTTTACCGTTAAAATTTTAGCCATCCTTTATGCTTGAAAGTTAACCATCATTTTTCTTCCAAAGTACAGAAAGTTGAAATTTATTGACTATGAAATGGAGAAATAAAGGAATTTGGTACTTCTGTAATTTTTGCATAACAAGTTTTGTAAATTAATTCCCATCGAATGACTCAACCTATTGTCGTCTTTGCACAATCTGAGAAATTATCTATTTATCCTGCTGAACATTTTTCTTTAGGCAGGGAAATGTAGATAGCAATTACCAGATAACAGCACCTTCTTCACAGAAAAAAGAAATTTCTCTCTCAAACATCTAAAACTTACACATGCCAACTTATTTGCCCAATGATAACGGGTACCCAGCGCAAGCTAGCCTGGACACTACCGTCCCTAGAAAAAAAACAGATATCTCAAATTAACAAACTTTCAAGTAACAAAAATGTGACAATACTGCTTGCACCAATGATGACTATGTAGATTCAATCGCTTATGGTCTATGTTGTTAAGACTCTTCAAAATTATCGATAGGTGTATGTCAAATCATCTAAAAGTAGTGTCTTTTTTCGATCCGAAATGGGTGCTGAAACATTTTTAGAGAGTCCGAGCAACATAGGACCCAATAGAGACATCACCCCAGTACTCCATTATGAGCAGAGAACTCCATTTATGTTAGGTGGACCAGTGGAGGAGACAGGATTACCATCAAGGTGTTCAACAAAAACTAAGAACACTCATAGTATCCACAAATAAACAGGTCAGATAAAAAAAATACTTACTGTAGATTATATATGTTGGAATGTACGCGTCCACTATATGTAAACGGACAAGGTCCCTTGACTCAGCAAGAACAGTAATTGAAATAAATGCAGAAGTAAATAGCTGAAAGTAAAATCTGCACAAGGGGAGCATATATATCTAAAAACTTAAATAGATCAAACATGGGGAGATGACAAAACTCTTTAGGAACAAATTTAGAGCACATATTTACAACATGATAATAAAGAGATATTAAGGAACACAAGTCAATTCAAATTTACTTGCTTTGCCAGAAGCAGGGGGTCTTTTCTATAAGTTCTTCAATTCCTTTTGAATTCTCTTCAGCTTGTGCAAGTGCAAACAGAGAGCAAGCACAAACTTTTACATTAGAATTACTCACATTTAGAAGTTGTTTTTCTCTCTTGTCTTATACTTTATCTATAACTTTGATGGATAAGACTATATCTTTATGGCAGAGAGACGACCCTTTAAATATTGTGTTTTAACATCATTCGCACCTTTTCATCATGGTGAGTAGTGGAGATGATGGATAGTTGGAAGATCTAATGGGTAAAGTGGAAGACTCAATGAGTAGTTGAAATAACTTCTCCACTTCCCACTTGCCCACTTCTCCACTTATCCAATTAAAATTAGAATTTAGTTAGTAATTAAATATTAAACCAAAATAATATTAATGTGAGCGGATCATAAAACTAACATTATCCCACTTGACACACGTAACATCATTTACTTAATGATTTAATAAACATTTCAATTACAACATGCACATATACTAAATTCAACATTATTTGTTGTTATTAAGTATATCAACTAATATGAGTCAGCGGTTGTACACCACTTTATTTAGCATAGTCCCTTCCATGCACTACAATATTAGTCTATTGCCTAACACAACATTTCAAATACATAATGGGTCCACCATAATGCTTAGAGTATCTTTATCTAGAACAAAACCTATCATCATCATTCTCAATATATCGTATACAAGGGAAAACAGGTAATACAAAAACATATATATAGTTGAGTTCAAAGTGTTAATTGCATAAACATAATATAATCTTTACATAAAGTCATTCATTGCTATTAATAAGACCCATTCTTTCAACATGTTCAACGAATGTTTTGGCGGTAATCCTTTCGTCAAAGGATCAACAATCATAAGTTTGGTTCTAATATGTTCAATTGTCACTTTATGTTTCTGGACTTCTTCCCTAACTGAAAAGTATTTCAATTCCATATGTTTGGCACCCTTAGAATACTTATCATTTTTAGAGAAGAAGACAACAACAGTATTATCAAAATAATTTTTTTGCAATTTGGAAATACTATCGACTAGTCCAAGTCCTGAAATAAAGTTCCGCAACCAATTAGCCTGAACTGTGACCTCAAAGCATGCCACAAACTCAGCTTCCATAGTGGATGCATCTATAACAGACTACTTCACACTCTTCCATGATATTGCTCCTCCAGCTAATAGGAACAAATACCCAAATATGGATTTTCGTGTATCCACACAACCATCATAATCTGAATATGAATATCCAATCACATCAAGATGATCAGATCTTCTATAAATGAGCATATCATCTTTAGTTCCTTGCAAGTATCGCAACACTTTCTTCGCAGCTTTCCAATGATCCATTCCTGGATTACTTTGATAACGGCCCAACATTCCAACAACGAAACTGATGTCTGGTCTAGTACATGTTTGGGCATACATTAGACTCCCAACTATTGATGCATAAGGAATATCATTCATTTGCTTACATTCCAATTCACTTTTTAGACATTGATTGGGACTAAATTTATCTCCTTTCTGAATTGGAACGAGACTTGATGAACATTTTTTCATTCTAAATCTCTTTAGCACTTTATTAATATAGGCTTTCTGAGACAAACCTAATAATCCTTGTGGTCTATTTCGAAATATTTCTATTCCAATCACATAGGATGCCTCTCCCATATCTTTCAGTTCAAATTTTTAGATAAATATATCTTGGTATCATGCAATAAACCAAGATCATTAGTAGCAAGCAAGATGTCATCAACATACAGGACTAACATAATAAACTTCCTCTACTAACCTTCAGATATATACACCGATCAACAGTGTTTTCCTTAAATCCAAAAGTGACAATAGTTTCATTAAACTTAAGACACCATTGTCAAGAAGCTTGTTTAAGTCCGTATAATGACTTCTTAAGTTTACATACCATGTGTTCCTTTCCTTTACAAGAGAACCCTTCAGGTTGATTCATATAAACTTTTTCCTCCGAGTTTCCATTTAGAAAGGCTGTTTTCACATCCATTTGATGTAGCTCTAAGTCATAATGAGCTACTAAAACCATTATAATTTTGAGTGAATCTTTTCTAGAAACAAGTGAAAATATTTCTTTATAGTCGATGTCATCCTTTTGAGTAAAACCTTTTGTGACAAGTCTGGCCTTGTGACATTTAATGTTGTCAGTTGAGTTACGTTTGGTCTTAAAGACCCATTTACACCCAACTGTTTTGCAACCTTCTGGTAATTCAAGAAGGTCCCATACTTCATTTTGTTCCATAAATTTCAACTCATCTTTCATAACATTTATCCATCTATCAGAATTATTACTTTTAATAGCTTGTGAAAATGAAACTGGATCATTATCAATTCCTAAGTCAATTTCTGACTCTTGTAAATATACCAAATATTCATTAGAAATAACAGGTCTCTTTTGTCTTTGAAATTTTCTTAATGCTACTTCTTGTGGTACATCTACTACATGTTCATTAATTATTGCTTCATTGAGATTAACAGGAGCATCAATTTGTTGTTCTTGTTGATTGTTAGGTTATGCAACAACTTTAGGAACAACATCTTTAAAAGAAGTAAAAGGTAGAGAAATCGTCACCCTAACTTCTTTAATTTCCACTTTACGTGGTTCTTCACTCCCACTAACTTCATCATTCTCAATGAACCTAGTATTTCCTGTTTCAACTATTCTTATATAGTGATTAGGACAGTATCCAATGAAGAAATCAACGATTGTTCTTGAATCCATTTTTTTTCTTGTGGGTTATAAACTCTAACTTCTGCCGGGCAACCCCAAACATGCAGCTGCCTTAAACTAGGTCTCCTACCAGTCCATAGTTCAAAAAGAGTCTTCGGGACGCTTTAATAGGAACCCTATTCAGTAAGTAAATGACACTCATTAAAGCATACATACACAATGAAAAAGGAATAGATGAATTACTTAACATACTCCTAACCATGTCCATTAATGTATGATTACGCCTTTCTGCTACACCATTTTGTTGTGGTGTTCCAAGCATTGTGTATTGAGCACATATGCCATGTTTTTTCGAGGAATTTAGCAAATGGACCTGGGTGTTGTCCATTTTCATCATATCTTCCTTAATATTCACCACCTCTATCTGACTTGACTATCTAGTTGTCTTTCAACCTCAGTAATAACGACCTCTAAAGCATTTATCGCTTGAGATTTTTCATGCAACAAATAGACATACCCATAACGTGAAAATTGTCAATAAAAGTGATAAAATATTCTTCTTTACTAAAAGATGTAATATCAAAATGATCACATATATCAGTGTATATGATTTCAAGAAGTTGTGTGCTTCTTGTGGCTTCTTTCTTTGTGTGTCTTGTTTGTTTTCCTTTAATACAATCTACACAAATGTTAAGGTCTGTAAAATCCAAATTTAGAAGAATTTCATTCTTAACTAATCTTTCTAATCTTTCTTTGGATATGTGACCTAAACATTGGTGTCACAAGAAAGAAGACTGTTCATTCACCAAACTATGTTTGGTTCCAATATTATGATGCACAGTTAAGAGTGTTTCGGCAAATAGATTATCAAGATTCATTTTGTATAAGTTATCAAAAAGAGTACCAGTACCAATGAGATAATTATGTTTAAACAAACTAAAAAATCCATTACCGAAATTAAAAGAGTATCTTGTCTTATCCAACTTAGACAATGAAGCTAAATTTCTCAAAAGATAAGGTACATAACAAGTTTCAAGTAAATCTAAGTGGCGCCCAATATCAAGGATCAAACAATAAGTTCTATAGCTTTAACTGGAGCCTTCACTCTATTCCCCATATACACATATCTTTCATTCTGGTTTATGGTTTGTGTTGTAAGGAATCCCTGCATCGTATTAGAAACATGAACAATACAACCAGAGTCAATCCACTAAGTAATATAAGAAACTTCATTTAAAGTTGATTCGAGACATGTAAAAGCACTAGGCTTACCTTTCTTCTCGAGCCATGCCTTAAATTTCAGACAATTTTTTTGAAAGTGTCTAGATTCTCCACAAAAATGACAATTATC